GTGGCTAATTTGAATGCAAAAGCGAGTGGCTCCAACGAGAGAGGAAGTTCAGGTGGTTTGTCCATGTAGGAAGAATAAAAGAAGCTCAAACTGCAACATAAGGATATGGAGGAAGAGGAAATGGGCTGAGAGGAAGTGAGGGGGGGGGAAAGGAGAAAGAATGTGGCTGGAAATGGTTAGAGAGCCTCAAGAGACAAAAAAGAGACTTTTTTAAAAAAAAAGTAGAAACATGAAAAGGCCATGCCCGAAGCAGGGTAGTGGATGAATGGGAGGAAGCAGGGAAGATTTGTAAACATATACAACATCGTGTATATGTTGAGGGGTAAGTGAGATGTAGTTTCCTTTCCACTTTTCTTCTAATTTCTTTTGCTCACAACCTCTTGCTGTTTTGTCTATGCTTTGCATAACATACCCCAAAAGGAAAAAGCATGAAACTTCTGTTGAGAATAGGTAGCTAGCCACTCGCAGAGGCAGATAGATAGATAGATAGATAGATAGATAGATAGATAGATAGATAGATAGATAGATAGATATGATTCTTTAATAAATATCAGTATATATAGCCTTTTATGTTTCAACTCCTACCCTCAAAATGACGCTATAGAGCACTGCACACCAGAACAACTAGACACAAGAACAGTTTTTTCCTGAACGCCATCACTCTGCTAAACAAATAATTCCCTCAACACTGTCAAACTATTCACTAAGTCTGCATTACTATTAATCTTCTCATCGTTCCTATCACCCATCTCCTCCCACTTATGACTGCATGACTGTAACCTTGTTGCTGGTATCCTTAAGATTTATATTGACTGTTTCCTAATATGATTCGATTGTTTATTTGTACCCTATGACTATCATTAAGTGTTGTACCTTATGATTCTTGACGAATGTATCTTTTCTTTTATGTACGCTGAGAGCGTATGCACTGAAGACAAATTCCTTGTGTGTCCAATCACACTTGGCCAATAAAGAATTCTGTTCTGTTCTGTTCCGTTCCGTTCTGTTCTATTCTGACTGCTTTTGTGATTTTTCTTCCTCATTTGCGTTTTTATACTCGGCACAATCCTGTACTGGTTTTATTCCTCACCGCAGGGAAATTTTGCCCTTCTCAAATCTCATGTTAGAAGTAGACCTTCATATATTCCTACCATTTTAATATGCCTGCAAACATACTTTTTTTCTTTCTGTCCTGTAACTACAGTCCTCTGCCAGCTCTACAGTAGTATCATAAAGCATCCTGAAAACAGATCACTATTTTGGGATGGGAGGGAAAGAGAAAGGTGCCCCCTAGATATTGCTGAATTAGCAAGCCCAATGTCCCTTCCTACTGGACAGGTCAGAACCAGAAATCTGCAACCAAGGCGATCACAAATTGGTGGTCACCCTTCCAAGCCCTAACCAGATCCAACTCTGCTTATCTTTTTGAGGTTAGCCAAGGTTATGCTAAAAGACAAATAAATCAGGAAAGCGCCAAACAGGTGAGAAATGCAATTTTTACAAGGTAAAAATGAATCTTGACAGCCTTGAACACTGGCCCCTATCTAACAAAACGAAATTCAACAGAGAGAAAAGTAAAGTTTTACACTTAGGCAACAAAAACCAAAAGTACATGTACAGATTAGGTGAAACCTAGCTTAATATCATTAACTGGGATCTTGGAGTCCTACAGGTAATTCTCGATTTACAACAGTTCGCTTAGGGACCATTCAAAGTTACAACGGCACTGAAAAAAGTAACTTATGACCATTTTTCAGAATTATGACCATTGCAGCATGATCCCATGATCATGCGATTTACATTCGGATGCTTGTTGACTGACTCACATTTATGACGGTTGCAATGCCCCGGGTCACATGACACACACACACACCTTTTGCAACCTTCTAACAAGCAAAGTCAATGGGGAAACTAGATTCACTTGCAAAGTCAATGGGGAAACTAGATTCACTTAACAACTGTGTTACTAATTTAACAACTAGAATAGAATAGAATAGAATTTTTTATTGGCCAAGTGTGATTGGACACACAAGGAATTTGTCTTGGTGCATACGCTCTCGGAGTACATAAAAGAAAAGATACATTCATCAAGAATCATAAGGTACAACACTTAATGATAGTCATAGGGTACAAATAAGCAATCAGGAAACAATATCAATATAAATCGTAAGGATACAAGTAACAAAGTTACAGTCATACAGTCATAAGTGGATCTACAGTGGATCTACAACTACAGTGATTCACTTAACAAATGTGGCAAGAAAAGTCGTAAAATGGGGCAAAACTCACTTAATAAATTTCTCACTTAGCAACATAAATTTTGGGCTCAATTGTGGTTGTAAGTGCAGGAGTACCTATATGAGCCAGCAGTGTGCAGCAGCAGCCAAAAAAGCCAATGCAATCCTAAATTCCATTAACAGAGGGATTGAATCAAGATCACATGAGGTACTAGCAGTGGTGAAATGTAAATTTTGTTACTACCGGTTCTGTGGGCATGGCTTGGTGGGGGGGGGGTTAATATGACTGAGTGGGCGTGGCCAACTTTTTTTAAAAAATTTTTTTACTTTTAAAACCATTTTTCTACAACCTCTTCGGCTGAAGAGGTTGTTTAAAAAATGCTTTTAAAGCCTCTGACGATCCCAGCTGACTTGCCTGATCGTCAGAGGCTTTTTCTTTTTTTTAAAGCCTCTGACAATCCTAGCTGACTTGCCTGATCGGCAGAGGCTTTGTTTTTACTTTTAAAAGCATTTTTTCTATAACCTCTTCGGACAAAGAGGTTGTAGAAAAAATGCTTTTAAAAATTAAAAAAAAGCCTCTGATGATTGCGCGGTTGACCTGGGCAATGGGGGGCAGGGATTTTTGCTACCGGTTCTCCGAACCACCCGCCTCCATCGCTACCAGATCAGGTGATCCAGTCCGAACCGGGAGCATTTCACCCCTGGGTACTAGTACCACTCTATAAAGCCTTAGTAAGATCACACCTAGAATACTGCATCTAGTTTTGGTCACACCATAAAAAAATATGTTGAGACTCTAGAAAGAGTGTAGAGAAGAGCAACAAAGATAATTAGAGGGCTGGGGGCTAAAACAAATGAAGAATGGTTACAGGAACTAAGCATGGCTAGTCTAGTGAACAGAAGGACCAGGGGTGACACGATAGCAGTCTTCGAATACTTGGAATAAAACAAAATCACATGAAGTATTAGTACCCTTTATAACGTCTGGAATACTGAGTACAGTTTTGGTCACCTCATTACAAAAAGCGCAGAGAAGAGCAACTAAGACAATTAAAGGCCTGTAGACTATCAGTCAGTGATGGCGAACCTTTTCAACACCGAGTACCGAAAAGGGAGCATGCGCAACCTAGAAAAGGAGCTGCCCAGAGCGCATGTGCGCACCCAAAAATGAACTTCTGGTTTCAGCTACTGAACTTCCAGTTTCAGCCAGCTACTCTTCCAGGTTTCTGGCGAGCATGTGCACATGACGATCAGCTGGCTGGCACGCATGCTCACACAGCTGTTCTAGTTTCCGGCACTGCTGCATGCAAAAAGGGCAGCTGATCATCACACATGCATGTGTGCTAGAAATTCAGAAGAGGAACGGGCAATGCTGTGTGTGCCACTTCAGGCACGCGTGCCATAGATTCGCCATCACGGCTATAAATTATATACGAAGAACGATTGCCAGATTTGAGTTTGGCTAGTCTAGAGAAAAGAAGGATCAGGGGAGACAAGATAGCCGTCTTCCAATATTTGAGGGGCTGCCACAGAGAGGAAGGGGGTCAAGCTATTTTCCAAGGCACCTGAACGCCAGACAAGGGGAACAGTGGATGGAAACTGATCAAGGAAAGATTCAACCTAGAAATAAGGAGAAACGTTCTGACAGCGATAACAATCAACCCGTGGAACAGCTTTTGGCCTTCAGAAGTTGTGGGTGCCCCATCACCAGAGACTTTCCAGAAAAGACTGGACAGAGATTTGTCAGAAATGGTACAGGCCAGGGCAGTGGTGGGATTCAGCCAGTTCGCACCTATTCCGCCGTGCCCTTGAAACCTTCTTTTTCCAGCAAGCCGGGCTGGCCTAACACTTTTTAAAATGTTTTTAATTGTCTGTTATTGTTTTTAATCATGGGGCCAAATTTATATATATCTTTTTAATTGTATTTTAATGTTTGTAGTTTATGCTTTTACTTGGCTGTTCACCGCCCTGAGTCCTCAGGGAGAAGGGTGGTATACAAATTTAAAAATAAATAAATAAATTCGGGAGAACCGGTTGTTAACTTTCTAAGCAGTTCGGAGAACTGGTTGTTGGAAGAAATTACGCCCCCCCCCTTTACACGGCTAATCCTGTAAGGAAGGCAGCAAGGAAACATTCTGGTGGTGTTTCTAGCTTAATCTTTATTGCCCTGCTTACAGAAACTGCCTCTCTGGTTAACCCTTATTACATTGTAACAGCTAAAGCCAAGCGCCCATCCAGGTGAGTAATGTTGAGTTGGCCACGCCCACACGGTCATATGACCACCAAGCCACACCTACCCAGCTGGTCCTTAAGGCAGAGAACCGGTTGTTAAATTATTTGAATCCCACCACTGGGCCAGGGTCTCCTGCTTGAGAAGGGGGTTGGACTAGATGACCTCTATGGTCCCTTCCAACTCTGTAATTTTGTCTGCCTGTCTAGGTGGGCCGCAGCAGAAGCCCCATTCTTGCAACCAAAAGCCAACCAGCACTTTTTTCAAAGTCTTAACAAATCAACTCTCCGGGGCTCGCAAAGCACGGCCAGAGTTGCAGGAAACCCCCCAACCCACCCATTCTCTTCTCCGGTCAGCCTCTCAGGCCGGGCGAGGCGAGAGACAAACACCCCCGGCCCCTCCCTCGGCCGGCTTTCTTGCACCTGCTCCGTCGTAGAGCGAGGAGTGGCGGAAATCGCCGAGGCCCGCTTGGTGACCTTGAGGGAGCCCGAAGCGGGGTCCGCGCGCGCTAACAGGAGGAGGAGGCGACTGGCGGCGTTCCCCGCCCGCCTCCTCCGGACCGGCACATCTCGGCCGGCAGGAAGGAAGGAAGGAAGAAAGAAGAGAGCGCTGCCCCGCCGCCCTTTGGCGCTCCGCCCTCGGGCAAAGCACCCCCGCGGCCGGAGGGAGGGAGGGAGTGAGGGAGGGGTGCAAAATGGCAGCGGAAGATAGCAGGGGGGCCAACGGCGGAGTCCGCTTGCGCAGCGCCTGAGTCCCGTTTCCATCTCCATCTCTCCCGCTGCGGCTGCCGTCGCCTCGCCGAGGGATTCTCCCCCCGCCGGGCTGCAAATGCGGCTGCTCGCCTCAGCGCCCGGCGGATTTCCCACCGGGCCCCCGGCCGGGAAAGGAGTCTGGGGGTGCCTCGCTTCCCGCGGCGAGGCCGGCCGGTGAGGAGGAGAGCGGCGAGAGAAGGAGCCCCGAGGGTCGCCCGCGCAGTCGCTGCTGCCGCGCGAGGGAACCCGGGGGGGTGGTCGCGGCCGCCCGTCGCCCAAGGTGAGCGGGAGGAGGCTGGAGGTGGGGGGGGACGGAGGAGCGGAGAGCCGGGTTTCGGGGAGGGGGCGGGTCTCGGCTTCCTTCGGCTGCTTTCTCTGCGGGTCTAAGCCGGCCAGTTCCAGCGGTTGCCGGCGATGGAGCGGCGCCGGTTCTCCCCCTCTTCTCCTTCCCGGAGGGCTGGAGTCCGGCTTTAGCTCAACGCGCGGGCCTCCTTTGGGGGGGGGGGTCCCCCCGGGGGGGGGGGGGGGGGGGGGGGAGAGGAAGGTATGAGGGGAGCTTTGGCACCAAGCTCTGGCTGCCTTTCCAGAAAGAGCTTGCCTTGGAACAGCTGGCCTTCAGAAGTAACAGTAACAGAGTTGGAAGGGACTTTAGAGGTCATCTAGTCCAACCCCCTGCTCACAAGCAGGGCAGCTGTACTAGGGATTCGAACCGCCGGAACAGTAGGTGGTAGGTGCTCCATCCCTGAAGATTTGAAAGAAGAGACTGGATTTATACCATTTGTCTGAAATGGTATAGAACCAGGGTGGATAAAAATCAATGATTTTTTTTAAAAAATCAAAAAAATCAGATTTTTTTTTATTTAAATCGGATTTTTTTTATTTAAATCGGATTTTTTTTATTTTTATTGAATTTGTTTTAATAAAAAACTTTTGGGGTAAAAATCTATCGTAAGATAGTTTTCTATTTAAGATACATAAATAATTTAGTTTACTCAGCATGAAATGGAGCTTAGTTATGTAGCATGAGGCTGTATATTCTGCAACACTGGGACTATCGGTGAGTCAACAGTGGGTCAAAGGAGTAGCAGAGATGACAGTTGCTCTTTAAAAATGATGATTTAAATCGAGTTGATTTAAATCCAGCCTTTTTACTAGTGATTTAAATCATGATTTAAACTGTGATTTAAATCAATTCGATTTAAATCAAATCCACCCTGTATAGAACAGCAGTCACCATTTGGTGGTCCGTGAGAAAATTTTGGTGGTCCGCAGAAAAATGATTTGCATTGTTTATATTGCGCTAAATCAGGGGTCCTCAAATTACGGCCCCTGGGATGGATATGTGCAATGAACATTTGTGTTGTTGCATAGTCTCCCCCTTTGGGGTCTTTTTGTGTGGGTTGGAGGGGGGCAGAAATTCCAACTTTGGGGCAGGGCTTTGGGCAAAGGCTGAGCCTCCAGACGCCGGTACCTGGCCTTGCTCTCCCGCAGGTCTTCCCTCTGCTTGGAAAGCCTATGCTTGTAGTCCTCAGTGAGGTGCTTCTGATGAACCTTCTTCTCAGTCAGATCCAATTTGAACTGAGCCAGCTGTTTTGCCAACTCTTTTTCGTAGTGCCTGCCTAGCTCCAACAACTGCTTCCTGCTGGGGCCCTAAGGAGCCCGGGTGGGCAGGCAAGGAGTGGCTGGGAGGGGAGGGACGAGTAGAGGCCGGCGAGGCGCCCCTCAATGTAAGTGACATCAAGTTGACTACACCCACCCAGTCACATGGCAACCTAACCACGCCCACCCACCCAGTCATTAGGCAGATCATATTAGTGGTCCGTGGGATTTAAAATTATGAATTTAGTGGTCCTTGAGGTCTGAAAGGTTGGTGACCCCTGGTATAGAAAGATAGTCTCCTGCCTGAGCAGGGGGTTGGACTAGGAGACCTCCAAAGGTCCCTTCCAGCTCTATTCCAGGTGCAGAAGTAGGCGACTGATGTGTCTGCAACAGGGCAATCCTAAGGAAAGGATGCGGTTGCTTTGTAAAGTCTGGGTGAAGCCTGGTTGGAGTCTTGGCTGCTTGGAGGCTCCTTTAAGAATTGGAACTAGGGCCCCACAGGGCCAGATTGCTTAGGATTTGGATGGGTTTTGGAGTGGATAAACCTCCTGGAATGAAGCACGTCCAGTTGGGAAGATTATACAGGCCCATTGAGCTGGATGGTAGAGAAGACTTTCTGAACTGACCACTTTCTCTGGTTTACGTTCTACACTGAATCCTGAATTAATGAGCGAAATACAGTGGTATGGAGGGGAAGAATTACTAAACCTGGGTTCAAAGTCTATTGTCAGATCCGTAAATTAGCTGGACAATTTGCAACCAGTTGCAAATCTCTTTCAGCCCAGCCTATCTTACAGAGTTGTTGAGTTGATGACCGAAAGGGAAATCCTCATCTAAGCTTCTTCTTCTTCTGGAGAAAAGAAGTGCCATATAAATTTAATGAACATATTAAATGGATAACCCAGTGCACCGGGTTTGTAGAATATGGTTAGACATAGAAGTTCATGCAGGCAGCTTTCAAGCAGGATATGGAGCCTTCCTTCAGTTGTGTCTCTCCCTGGATCAGGTTGCCAACCAGGGTGGACTTGATTTAAATCGAGTTGATTTAAATCACAATTTAAATCATGATTTAAATCACTAGTGAAAAGGCTTGATTTAAATCAACTCGATTTAAATCATAATTTTTAAAGAGCAACTGTCATCTCTGCTACTCCTTTGACCCATTGTTGACTCACCGATAGTCCCAGTGTTGCAGAATATACAGCCTCATGCTACATAACTAAGCTCCATTTCATGCTGAGTAAACTAAATTATTTATGTATCTTAAATAGAAAACTATATTACGATAGATTTTTACCCCAAAAGTTTTTTTATTAAAATAAATTCGATAAAAATCAAAAAAATCCGATTTAAATCAAAAAAATCCGATTTAAATAAAAAAAATCTGATTTATTTTTATTTTTTTTAAAAAATCATTGATTTTTATCCACCCTGTTGCCAACTCCTGAGCATACTCTCCTACAAGGTATAACAGATGGGGCTAGCTGGGCAACCCAAAGGTGCTTTTTCAAGAGGCAACTGGACTTTCTGGGTTTTTGTTTTTGTTTTTTCAAGAAGTTTCCCTTCTCATCCAAGAAGCTTCTTCAGCTTTGATTCTTTCACTGAGAAGTTGGAGCTGTGCTTTCTCCAGGATGTTTTTTGCTCTGTGTCCCTTCACTGTTGAGCAAAGGCACAGGCTGTTGGGGATGAGCCTGACTTGTCTGCATCTCAAACCGAAGCATAAATGGTTCCTGTGGTCTGCAATTTTTCTGGAAATCCGTTTTCTTTTTTTTTTAAATTTGATTTATATGCCGCCCTTCTCCGGAGACTCAGGGCGGCTTACAGTGCGTTAAGCAATAGCCTTCATACTTTTGTATATTTTATACAAAGTCAGCTTATTGCCCCCACAAACTGGGTCCTCAATTTACCTACCTTAGAAAGGATAGAAGGCTGAGTCAACCGTGAGCCTGGCAAGATTCAAACTTACTAATTGCAGGCAGCTGGAGTTAAATTATAATGCATTAGTCTGCTGAGCTATCCAGGCTCAGTTCATATTCCCTCACCCATTCGAAGGTGTATTGCTAAATGTCTATGGAAATTCTCTGCCATCCAGGTCATGGTTGTCCCAAAGGTGCGATTTTTCAATGCGATTCACTTCTCATCCAAGAAGCTTAGACATCTAGCTGGAAAAGAAACATTTTCATTGTTTCTTGCAGGCAAAGGTAAAAAAGATGAGCCTCAAATGGGTCTCTAGAGTTAGGGATGATCTTTTAGAGGAAACTTTGATTGTCATTGTTTCTGTACATACAGAACTTTTGCAGATCAGGGTGTCTGTTGGCTGATCAAAGAAGTGGCCACAATTGTGGAAGTCCCACCTTCAGCCACACAGTCACACCATCCTGACACCCCACTTGTTTGCTTGACCCTTTCGCTCCCCGCTAATTAAATTGACCTTGATTGGCAACCGCCATATCTGATTAAAAGCCATAATCAATATTTCTTGAGCATGGAATGTATTCTTACTTGCTTAAGGAGCCAGTGATAAGACCTCTAATGAAAACTCTCAGAAGTTCTTTGCAATTCTAGGTCAAGAAAATTCTATTTTGGGGTTGGGGTAATTGAGCAAATGCTGGCCTTGCAGTTCTAGAAGCTGATTATCTGAGCTCGTTCTAATCAGGGTTTCCTCTGGGATATGGTAATTGGGTGACTTGGATGGATGATCTGTGTTAAAACTGGGTGAGGGAAGCGAAGCCCTACAATTTTCTCCAGGATGTCTCATCAGCTTTTGATACCATCAAATATGGTGTATTTCTGTGAAGACACTGAACAGAATAACAGAGATGGAAGGAACCTTGGAGGTCTTCTAGTCCAACTCCCTGCTTGAAAAATTGATAAGATGCCACCAATGACAGAGGAATGTGTGTGTGTGAGTGAGAAGGAGAGGGGGAGGGAGAGAGAGAGAGTGTGTGTGTGTGTCCAGGATAAATAACAAAACAAGAGAGTTGGAAGGGACCTTGGAAGTTTTCTAGTCCGATCCCCTGCTCAGATAGGAAACCCTATACCATTTCAGAAAGATAATGTTGTCTAATCTTTTCTTTAAAATTTCCAGTGTTGGAGCATTCACAACTTCTGCTGGCAAGTTGTTCCACTGATTAATTGTTCTAACTATCAGGAAATTTCTTCTTAGTTCTAAGTTGCTTCTCTCCTTGAATAATTTCCATCCATTGCTTCTTGCCCTGCCTTCAGGTGTTTTGGAGAATAGCTTGATTTCCTCTTCTTTGTGGCAACCCCTGAGATATTGGAACACTGCTATCATGTGACCCCTAGTGTTTTTTTCCATTAAACTGCACAAATGGGCTATAAACATGCATGGGGATGTGATGGGAAATAGGAAAAGGGGAATGACTGCTTGACAAGGAGCAGGGAAGCACAGAACCAGTTTGTGTCCGTACTCAAGGCCACGCACCCTGAGAACGGAATGTGGATTGCCCCATACATCTCAGTGATTCTCAAAACACCTATGCGGCTCTTCATTGGCTGAAGATGAACTGGTCATAGGGAGAGGGCTGGGATGAGGAGAAAAATTTGTAAACTTTCGTGTGGGAAACTTAGTTCTAGCCTGACTTTACTGCAACCAATAACCTTTAGTAAAATAACCTATCATTTCAGTCAAATGAAGTCGATGGTCTTTCTTTCGTAAGG